TAGACGGATTTCAATGTTACTTGACACAAATGTTCACCATTGTGAGGCGGAGTGTCACGTGCAAGATTCAGGTCCTTTCGGCCAAGGTCAAGGTCACACATAGAGGTCAAAGTTCAGATAAAAATATGGTGATGTGTATTTGGACCATTTAGTCATCATTTATTGAGGGATTGTAACACAAATGGTCATTATCAAGACTATGGCTGTGATACATATAATTTAGGTCAATATATACAAGGTCAAGGTCACTAAAGATGATAAAATAACCAGATTTTGTCCGGGGCATATCTCCTACACGCATGGAGGGATTTTAATGAAATTTCATAGAAATGTTCACCATTATGAGAAGCCATGTCACGCACATGAACTAGGTCTCTAGGTCAAAGGTCAAGGTCACACTTAGAGCTCATTGAAAAATGCTTGTCCGGAGCAAAACTTCCACATGCATAGAGGGATTTCAATATAACTTGGCACAAATGTTCACCATTGTGAGGCAGAGTGTCGCGCACAAAATTCAGGTCCCTGCAGCCAAGGTCAAGGCCACACATAGAGGTCAAAGTTTAGATAAAAATATGAAGATGTGTATAGGGATGATTTAATCATCATTTATTGAGGGATTGTAACACAAATGGTCATTATCATGACTACGGCTATGAATGACACATGTACTTTAGGTCAATATATGCAAGGTCAAGGTCACTAAAGATGGTGAAATATTCAGATTTTGTCTGGAGCATATCTCCTACATGTATGGAAGAATTTTTATAATACTTTATGGAAATGTTCACAACCATGATATGTATTGCTCCATGCATGATCCAGGTCTCCAGGTCAAAGGTCAAGGTCACACTTAGAGCTCATTGAAAACCGCTTGTCCGGAGCAAAACTTCTACATTCATAGGGGGATTTCAATATAACTTGGCACAAATGTTCACCATTGTGAGGCTGAGTGTTGCACGCAAAATTCAGATCCCTGCGACCAAAGTCAAGGTTACACATAGAGGTCAAAGTTCAGATAAAAATTTGAAGATGTGTATAGGGACCATTTAGTCATCATTTATTGATGGATTGTAGCACAAATGGTAACTATCATGACTACAGGTGTGACACATTTAATTTAGGTTGATATTTGCAAGGTCAAGGTCACTGGAGATGATTAAATATCCAGATGTTGTCCGGAGCATATTTTCTACATGCATGGAGGAATTTTAATGTTACTTTATAGAATTGTTCACCACCATGAGATGAGTGCCCTGCACATGAACCAAGTCTCTAGGTCAAAGGTGAAGGTCACAGTTAGAGCTCATAGCAAAACGCTTGTCTGGAGCAAAACTTCTACATGCATAGAGAGATTTCAATATAATTTGGCACAAATGTTCATCATTGTGAGGCTGAGTGCCGTGCATTATTCAGGTCCCTGCGACCAAGGTCAAGGTCACACAATCCTGTTTGCATATCTTCCCTACTGATTTGTTTTAAGGTTCATTTAACAACACAGTGCCAAGGATAAAAACTTGCTTGCTAGATAACACTTATCCATAATGCCCCCATTTCAATCTAAAGCTTTCATAAACGGGTGTATTTTGTGACTATGGCACCCTTGTTTTAAATCTAAAATTGGACGAAAAGTAACTTTTAATAATAAACTATTTTGCACCAGATCTAATTTGAATAACAATAGGCAATGTTCTTGTCTGCCTTTTCTTAAATCAAGTGTGAAAATCAAATAGTTTTCCCCGGAGCAAAATGCTTTCATCTGATTAGACAGTCAATTATCAACTTTTATCTATGATAGACACACATTAAACATGAAGTAACACAATATGCCCAAGTCATTTTATTACGGGGCCATAATAAAATTGATCAGTACTGAATGCACACATCTTTGCAAAAACAAATACTTTATAATGCAACCAAAACGTAAAGTGTACTATCATTTTATGACGAATAGTTTTCATTGATTATGAGATATTTATACCCCCACCACAAAATGTGGGGGGGGCTATAATGGATTCGCTTTGTCGCGTCGGTCGGTCGGTCGGTCGGTCAGTCGGTCGGTCGGTCCGTCCGTCTCCATTTTCGTGTCCGCTCTATAACTCCTATACCACTTGAAGGATTTTCTTCAAATTTGGCTCAAATGTTCACCTCAGCAAGGGGATGTGCAGAACCCATGTTGCCCATGTGTCAGCTCAAGGTCAAGGTCACAATTGAAGGTCAAATATCAAACACAATCATATATTAGACAGTATGTCGTGTCCGCACTGTAGGTCCTACAATAATTGAAAGATTTTCTTCAAACTTGGCTAAAATGTTCACCTCAACAAGGGGATGTGCAGAACTCATGTTGCCCATGTGTCATTTTAAGGTCAAGGTCACAATTGAAGGTCAAATATCAAACAATCAAATATTACACAATATGTCGTGTCCGCTCTGTAAGTCCTACACTAATTGAAAGATTTTCTTCAAACTTGGCTCAAATGTTCATTTCAACAATGGGATGTGCAGAACCCATGTTGCCCATGTGTCAGCTCAAGGTCAAGGTCACAATTGAAGGTCAAATATCAAACAATCAAATATTACACAGTATGTCGTGTCCGCTCTGTAAGTCCTACACTTATGAAAAGATTTTCTTCAAACTTGGCTCAAATGTTCACCTCAACAAGGTTATGTGCAGAACCCATGTCACTCTTTTGCCGGCTTAGGGTCAAGGTCACACTTGAAGGTCAAAAATTGACTTAGAAAATGTTCTTTAATTTTAACATATATCTGAATATTTCTGAATCTAGGAAATGTATTTGCTTGAAACTTAAAATATAAATGAAGTGTCACAATTAAGATATGCTGGTCAAGTTTCATAACTCTGTATTGCATTTTAACAAAGTTATGCCCCTTTTTAATCTTCAAATTTACATACAATCACATATTAGACAATATGTTGTGTCCGCTCTATAAATCCTATACTAATGGAAGAATTTTCTTCAAACTTTTCTCAAATGTTCACCTTAACAAGGTTATGTGCAGAATCCATGTCACCTTTGTGCAGACTAAAGGTCAAGGTCAGACTTGAAGGTCAAAAATTGACTTAGAAAATGTTCTTAGATTAAAACATGTTCTTGAATATTTCGGAAACTAGCATAGGTATTTGCTTGAAACTTAAAAGATATATGAGGTGTCACAAATTACAATATGCAGGTCAAGTTTCATAACTCTGTATTGGATTTTGACAAAAGTTATGCCCCTTTTTAAGTCTTTAAATTTACATACAATCAATACTAGACAATATGTTGTGTCAACTCTATAAATTCTATACTAATGGAAGGATTTTCTTCAAACTTTACTCAAATGTTCACTCCAATTGGGCGATGTGCAGAACCCATCTTACCCTTGTGCCAGCTGAAGGTCAAGGCCACACTTGAAGGTCAAAAATTGACTTATAAAAAGTTTAGTATATTGGGAAAATGAAAGGTTATTTGTAACTGTTTCAAACATGATTTGATAATAGATATTTTTACTATTACCTGTACAATTAGTCTTTATTTCACCAGAGATAATTTCTTTTTATGTATTTGTGTCACTTAAGTTATTCCCTTAACCACCTTTCCAAGTTGTCTTCTGTCAAGGACATTGGTGGGGGTATGAATCGCATTCAGCGATAGTTCTAGTTTTTCATGTCTTTGTTTAATCTGAATATTTGACTGAACAATTTACGTACAAATTAATGAAATAAATGTTCAACATCGTTTTTGTGCCCCCACGTTAGTGGCGGGCATTTAGATTTACCCTTGTCCGTCTGTCCGTCTGTTCACTTTTGTGTCGCACGTAACTCAAAAAGAATTTGACCTAGAGTCATGAAACTTTACAGGAATGTTGATCAGCATGTGTAGTTGTGCACCTGGGTATTTTCGTCTGGATATTTTTAGTATTTTCAGAGTTATTGCCCTTGACTTAGTAAAATTTTGCAATTTCAACTTGTGTCGCATGTAACTCAAAAAGTATTTGACCTACAGTCATGAAACTTTACAGGAATGTTGGTCAGCATGTGTGGTTGTGCACCTGGGTATTTTGGTCTGGATATTTTTAGTATTTTTAGAGTTATTGCCCTTGACTTAGTAAAATTTTGCAATTTTCAACTTGTGTCGCACATAACTCAAAAAGTATTTTACCTAGAGTCAGGAAACTTTACAGGAATGTTGATCAGCATGTTTAGTTGTGCACCTGGGTATTTTCGTCTGGATATTTTTAGTATTTTCAGAGTTATTGCCCTTGACTTAGTAAAATTTTGGCAATTTTCAAACATGTGTCGCACATAACTCAAAAAGTTTTTGACCTAGAGTCATGTTACTTTACAGGAATATTGATCAGCATGTGCAGTTGTGCACCTGGGGTATTTTCGTCTGGATTTATTTTTTTTAAGACTTATTGCCCTTCACTTAGGGGAAAATTTTTGCAATTTTCAACTTGTGTCGCAAGTTTTCTCAAAAAAGGATTTTGACATAGTCAATAAACCTTTTGGGGCAGTTTGCTCAGCATTTTTAAGATTTGCACCTGGGGTTTAGCTTGTGGATTTATCCAGTATTTGTAGAGTTATTTCCCTTGACTTAGTAAAAAAATTGACAGAACAGTGGCGCGGTGGGGGCACCCGTGTCCTATGGACACATTTCTAGTTTAAAAATAGATTGCTTATGTAATATTGTTCTTTTGCTCTTTTATAAAAATACTTTCAGCATAATTTTGCTGTTATAAAGGAAAAGGTCAGAGTTATTAATTTGGAGAAACATGCAATGCTACAAACAATGTTATGCTAAACATAATGATAATGGTAAGAAATGACAATACCATGTCTTTTCTGCCTGCTTGGACATTTTACCTTACAAGTCATTGATATTTATTTTTAACTTATCACAAAAATGGCAAGATTATTTATGAAATAAAGGCTAAGCAAGAAATGATAGAATTGTATGCATCTTATTGTAAGTAGTTTTTTAAATTGCTTTTGACAGGTGAGCAGATAAGTTTGAGGTGTATTCAACGGATTGAGGCTCATTTGGAGTGCGTGGTTGTCCAAATTAAACGGATACAAACATCTCTTAGATGTTTGGAAACAGGATTCAAATACATTGGGAATAGTACCCATTTCCTAAAATCCTTGGATAATGTAACTCTTAAAAACGTAAGGTTTATTTTCACGAAGTATTTTCTTCTATATTCTATATCTTAAAAAAACAAAAATGTTTATAAAGCAGATTTTGTGTTTAATGTAATCAAATGAAATATATGATTTTTCTGCTGCAGTAATCGTTTTTGTTTTAAAAATGCTTATTTATAGCATTACATACATCAGTAATTGATCAATTTGAAGAGTTTACAAATATTTTGATATGCGAGAATGTCTTAATGCGCATTTTCATAGCCTGGTGCATGTGAAAGTAGGTTTTAATTTGATTATAAATGTATAAAAGTTGTAATTTATTATTATTAAGTAATTTTATTATTAACAATATTGTCTGACATTAGCAGGTAATATATTTTCCTTGAGATACATTCTATGAACATCGCTTTCTTATTTTCTTTATACATATTTTTTTCGTTTATTTAAAATGACAATTTCAGGAATGGGTCAAGGTTCAAGATCTAATAAAGCATTGCCAAATTGTTAATCAAAAGTTGCAACGCGAACCGAGACTCTACGAAAATCAGACAGATGGTGAGAGAGAGGAAAGATTAAAGTCCATATTAAAGGAATTTGGAATCGATACATTAGAAAAAGGACCAAATCAAGACACAAGTTAGAATTTAGTTCTGATAAGTTTCTTGTAGCAAACTTGAACGCGATTTAGGTTGCAAAATCCTGCTTTATATAAAGCTAAAATGAATATGAAAACAAATAAAGACAGGGATATAAATTTGCATACTTACATGTTTTGTGTATTCAAAAACTTTCCAATGTTAACACTTCTTGCATTTTAAGCAATTAGGAATTTTCTGTTATACAATGATAAGCTAAGCTACTTGTAGCTTTGATACAATAAAGATTGAACCATCTGAATATGTTTGCATTGCTTTTGATGAATTGAATAAATGGATAAAATATTTGTACTAGTAATAAGTAATGGTTGCTTAATTATTTGTTGTGGTTTTTCATACTTTTGTCATAATGCATTGATTTTTTTTTAAACAGAATAATAGAATACACTATCATTTTACACTGAGTTATTAGCTCACCTGTCACAAAGTGACAGGGTGAGCTTTTGTGATCGCTTTTCGTCCGGCGTCCGTCCGTCCGTCGTCCGTCCGTAAACTTTTGCTTTAAATGACATCTCCTCATAAACCACTGAGCCAATTTCATCCAAACTTCACAGGAATGTTCCTTTGGTGGTCACCTTTAAAAATTGTTCAAAGAATTTAATTCCATGCAGAACTCTGGTTGCCATGGCAACCGAAAGAAAAATCTTTAAATATCTTCTTTTAAACAACCCTAAGAGCTAGAGCTTAGATATTTGGCATGAAACATCTTCTAGTGAGTGTCTACCAAGTTTGTTCAAATAAAAGCCCTGGGGTCAAAATTGGCCCCGCCCCAGGGGGTCATTGATTTTCCCTATATGCATATAGTAAAAACTTAAAAAATCTTCTTTGAAAGAACCCAAAGAGCAAAAGCTAAGATATTTGGCATGAAACATCTTCTAGTGAGTGTCTACCAAGTTTGTTCAAATAAAAGCCCTGGGGTCAAAATTGGCCCCGCCCCGGGGGTCATTGATTTTCCCTATATGCGTATAGTAAAAACTTAAAAATTTTTTTTTAAAGAACCGTAAGAGCTAGAGCTTAGATATTTGGCATGAAACATCTTCTAGTGAATGTCTACCAAGTTTGTTCAAATAAAAGCCCTGGGGTCAAAATTGGCCCTGCCCCGGGGGTCATTGATTTTCCCTATATGCATATAGTAAAAACTTAAAAAATTTTTTTTTAAACAACCGTAAGAGCTAGAGCTTAGATATTTGGCATGAAACATCTTCTAGTGAATGTCTACCAAGTTTGTTCAAATAAAAGCCCTGGGGTCAAAATTGGCCCCGCCCCAGGGGGTCATTGATTTTCCCTATATGCATATAGTAAAAACTTAAAAAATCTTCTTTTAAAGAACCCAAAGAGCTAGAGCTAAGATATTAAGCATGAAACATCTTCTAGTGAGTGTCTACCAAGTTTGTTCAAATTAAAGCCCTTGGGTCAAAATTGGCCCCGCCCAGGGGGGTCATTGATTTTCCCTATATGCATATAGTAAAAACTTAAAAAATCTTCTTTTAAAGAACCATAAGAGCTAGAGCTTAGATATTTGGCATGAAACGTCTTCTAGTGAATGTCTACCAAGTTTGTTCAAATAAAAGCCCTGGGGTCAAAATTGACCACGCCCCAGGGGGTCATAGATTTTCCCTATATGCATATAGTAAAAACTTAAAAAATCTTCTTTTAAAGAACCCAAAGAGCTAGAGCTAAGATATTTAGCATGAAACATCTTCTAATGGGTGTCTACCAAGTTTGTTCAAATGAAAGGCCTGGGGTCAAAATTGGCCCCGCCCGGGGGGTCATTGATTTTCCTTATATGTGTATAGCAAAAACTTAAAAATCTTCTTTGAAAAAACCCAAATAGCTAGAGTTTAGATATTAAGCATGAAACATCTTCTTATGGGTGTCTACCAAGTCTGTTCAAATAAACAAATAAAAGCCCTTGGGTAAAAATTGGCCTGGGGGTGGGGGGGGGGGGCTACATACAGGTGAGCGACCTCAGGGCCATCATGGCCCTCTTGTTTATATAGTGATGCTTTATGTGTTTTATTTGTAGCTTTTTGTTGAATATTAATCAGATATAATATTATTTGAAGAAGTATTTTATTCACACACAACTATAATAGATTTAAGAGCACATGTTGGGTGCAATATACTGACACGCTTGAAATATGTTAAAAGAATAACGCAAAGTAACATATAGATTATGTAACATCTATGTCACACATACGAGAGCTGCAACATTTAATATTTCATATTTGTAAACAATTGTAAGAACTATAAAGTAAATGGCCCTTTCACTACCATTTCGTGTAATATGGGTAACAATGTTGAAACAATTCGGTAACAATATAACCCTATTAATTTCGGCTTTTGATCATGTAAGGGCATGTGCTGTAACACTTGCAGATATACATTCCAACATACTACCAGCACTTTGATATTTGTGGATGGCTCGATTTATTTTGAAAAAAAAAATAGAAAATTAATAATTGATATCCCTTGATTTAAAAATTTAATTATCTTTATAGTAAGTCGTTCTGTATTTTGCACTTGCTGCATTGGCATTTAGCAGTTGAAAGCCATCATTTGACCATCAGAGCTTAATTCTTTTAAACATGTAATATAAAACGCAATGGAATGTTTTTTAAACAACGGGCGATTCAGAGCCATAATGAGCTTTTAAAATAGATTCAAAATTCATTCTCGTTTATCTTGTACTTCATTCATAACAATACAGTAAATCACATGTACATAACAGTCATATTTTAGGATATAACATTGACGCATCTGCTACAATAGAATTCAATTAATTTATCACCTGTGCATTCATTCCAAATACGTCAATACCATACATTTAAAATAATTCCTTACCCTTTGGATAAAAGTAAAAAAGCAAGTACATAGGGAAACAAGAAAACCAAAAAAGCTACAAAAGACACACACATACATATCCATTTTAAATTATTTTTATTAGCTCACCTGTCACAAAGTGACAGGGTGAGCTTTTGTGATCGCTTTTCGTCCGTCCGTCCGTAAACTTTTGCTTTAAATGACATCTCCTCATAAACCACTGAGCCAATTTCATCCAAACTTCACAGGAATGTTCCTTTGGTGGTCACCTTTAAAAATTGTTCAAAGAATTTAATTCCATGCAGAACTCTGGTTGCCATGGCAACCAAAAGAAAAAACTTTAAATATCTTCTTTTAAAAAACCATAAGAGCTAGAGCTTAGATATTTGGCATGAAACATCTTCTAGTGAGTGTCTACCAAGTTTGTTTAAATAAAAGCCCTGGGGTCAAAATTGGCCCCGACCCTGGGGGTCATTGATTTTCCCTATATGCATATAGTAAAAACTTAAAAAATCTTCTTTTAAAGAACCGTAAGAGCTAGAGCTTAGATATTTGGCATGAAACATCTACTAGTGAATGTCTACCAAATTTGTTCAAATAAAAGCCCTGGGGTCAAAATTGGCCCCGACCCAGGGGGTCATTGATTTTCCCTATATGCACACTGTAAAAACTTAAAAAATCTTCTTTTAAAGAACCCAAAGAGCTAGAGCTAAGATATTAAGCATGAAACATCTTCTAGTGAGTGTCTACCAAGTTTGTTCAAATTAAAGCCCTGGGGTCAAAAATTAGCCCTGCTCCGGGGGTCATTGGTTTTCCCTATATGCATATGGTAAAAACTTAAAAAATCTTCTTTTAAAGAACCATAAGAGCTAGAGCTTAGATATTTGGCATGAAACATCTTCTAAGGAATGTCTACCAAATTTGTTCAAATAAAAGCCCTGGGGTCAAAATTGACCCCGCCCCAGGGGGTCATAGATTTTCCCTATATGCATATAGTAAAAACTTAAAAAAAATTCTTTTAAAGAACCCAAAGAGCTAGAGCTAAGATATTAAGCATGAAACATCTTCTAGTGAGTGTCTACCAAGTTTGTCCAAATTAAAGCCCTGGGGTCAAAATTGGCCCCACCCCGGGGGTCATTGATTTTCCCTATATGCATATGGTAAAAACTTAAAAAATCTTCTCTTAAAGAACCATAAGAGGTAGAGCTTAGATATTTGGCATGAAACATCTTCTAGTGAATGTCTACCAAGTTTGTTCAAATAAAAGCCCTGGGGTCAAAATTGACCCTGCCCCAGGGGGTCATAGATTTTCCCTACATGCATATAGTAAAAACTTAAAAAATCTTCTTTTAAAGAACCCAAAGAGCTAGAGCTAAGATATTTAGCATGAAACATCTTCTAATGAGTGTCTACCAAGTATGTTCAAATAAAAGCCCTGGGATCAAAATTGGCCCGTCCGGGGGGGATCATTGATTTTCCTTATATGTGTATAGCAAAAACTTAAAAATCTTCTTTGGAAAAACCCAAATAGCTAGAGTTTAGATATTAAGCATGAAACATCTTTAAGTAAATATCTACAAAGTTTGTTAAAATAAAAGCCCGGGGTCAAAACTGGCCCTGCCCCAGGGGTGACATTGTTTTTAACTATATGTGTATAGTAAAAACTTTAAAAATCTTCTTTTAAAAATGCCAATGAGCTAGAACTTAGATGTTTAGCATGAAACATCTTCTTATGGTTGTGTACCAAGTCTGTTCAAATAAACAAATAAAAGCCCTTGGGTAAAAATTGGCCCGGGGGTTGGGGGCCATTATACAGGTGAGCGACCTCAGGGCCATCATGGCCCTCTTGTTATTAAATCTATTTATTTTATGCTTTTCAGTGGATTACTGATTTATCTGTGAAAATTATATTTGGTAATTTCACAGTGAAAATTATCAAAATATAATTTCACTTTTTTCAATGACGAAACTACTTTTTAGCTCGACTTTTTTTTTTTTTTTTGAAAAAAAAAGTAGAGGTATTGTTACAGTCAGGTCGGCGTTGCCGTTGCCGTCCGAAAACTTGTACCTGGATCATAACTTTTTTATTTCTTGGTGTATTGTCTTCATACTTGGCCACAACAACCCTTGGGACAAGACCTTTCAGTAGACCACACTAACCTTGACCTTCATCCATAAATGACCTTGACCTTCAAGGTTAAATGTCCAATTTTTGCTTGTTCATGCTGTTATTGGCTGTAACTTTGTTATTTTTGAATGGATTGTCTTCAAACTTGAACATAATAATCTTCAAGGATATCCCTTAAAAATAACCAGTCAGACCTTGACCTTCACTCATAAATGACCTTGACTTTGAAGGTCAAATGATTGAAATTTTTATTTTTTTGGCCATTATTGGCTGTAACTTTGTTATTTTTGAATGGATTGTCTTGAAACTTGAACATAATAATCTTCAAAAGTAACT